TCCCTGAACTCTTCAGCTCAAGGTGAGTGCTTTACCACTTGAGCCACAGAGTTACTTCAGTTTTCTGGTGGTTTGTTGGAGATGAGAGTCTCACAGACTTTCCTGCCTGGGCTGGCTTCGAACTGCGATCCTCAGATCTCAGCCTCCTGAGTAGCTAGGATGACAGGCATGAGCCACCAGCGCCCGGCTTTTCCACGGTTTTACTCCAAGTTGGTGCTGTGCTACTTGAGCCACCGCTCCATGGGTAGCTTTTTGGTGGTTATTTGGAGAGAAAAGTCACATGGGATTTCTTGCCCTGGCTGGCTTTGAACCAGGAGTCCTCAGAGCTCCAGCCTTCCGAGTAGCTGGGATTACAGGTATGAGCCTCCTCTAAGTAGAAAAAGCTAGAGTGCAAAGCCCCGAGTTCAAGCCCCACTCCACACACACACGCACACACACACACACACACACACACACACAGATGGATGGGCTGCTTCTACCATTTGCCATTCTCCACTGCCACCTCCTCCTCCCGGCAAGCAGGCCTACGTGACACGGGCCCGGGGTGACCCACGCAGTGCCGTGGCTCAGGAGCTGGTCTGCGCATGCGCAGATGCCAGCCAGGCTGAGGAGGGCACAGGCTGGGCAGGGCAGCGCTGGCTGGGTACCAGCGCCATGCCTCCCTCCCCAGAAACTCTGCCTGCGCTGCCTGGGCTGGATTTAACGCAACGCCATCTCACTCATGTGCTCTGAGCACCAGAGACGAGACGCGTTTGAAGCTGGGGACCCCGGGCACCCAGCAGGCTGGGCAAAGAGCAGGGATATTTGGTTTTTGGCTCTTGGATGACTAAGACCAGTGAACCCCAGGAATGAGTGGATGCATGGCACAGGCTGGTAGTGTTGAGGATGGAGAGGCAGAGGAGGCTCCAGCCCACCCCCCACCCCCAAGAATTGTGGCTTCCTCTCTTTCCGTGCTGTGTGGCCTTGGGCAAGTTCCTCAGCCTGGCTGAACCCGGGAGGAAGTGCATTTGTAGAGTGAATGGAAGTGAAAACTTCCTCAGGATTGGGGTGCAACAGAAGTAAAGGTACACAGAACGAAGTAGCCCCCAGCCCCACCGAGCAGACTTTGCGATAGACTGGAGAGGCGTGAGTCATGTCTAGTTAACATGGCAGGCTCAGGTGGAGTATATGTGTGTGTGTGTGTGTGTGTCTTAGGGCTTGAATTCTGGGCCTGGGTGCTATCCCTGAGCTCTTCAGCTCAAGGCAAGTGCTCTACCACTTGAGCCACAGCGCCACTTCCAGTTTTTTAGTGGTTTATTGGAGATAAGAGTCTCATGGACTT